CTATGTGAGAGCATAACACTCTCCAGGTTTTTCATGTTATTGCAAAGGTAAGACTTCTTATTTTGCAGCCAAGTAATAATTTATTGTGTAAATATACCACAGCTTTTTTTTTTAAATCTACTATGGGTACTTGGGTTGCTTCCAAATCTTGGCTATTGTAAATAACATTGCAATGAACATCAGGGTGCAAAAATTCACGTTTAATTTAGATTGTAGCAAAGGCTTTCTCTTTAATATCTCCTAATTCTAAAATGATTTTTAAAAGTTATTTTTGTCTATTTTGTTAGGTTATGGAAAAGCAGGACTAGCAAATGTAATAAGTGACTATCTTTGGCTGTTTGTTTATTTTAAATTAACTTTTTGGATTACCTATTGGGAACATAGTGCTTTCCTAGGTGTGTAAACTTTTATTTATATATACATGTAGAGAGAGTTTATTATCTGTGAAAATGTAACCAGAGCTTAGACATTTAATACTTATTCATTGAATGAAAAGACAGTATTGTGTGTGCTCTGTTAAATAACTAAAGTTAAAGAATAAAAGATTGTTGGTGATTCTCTATAACCTCTGTTTTATTACATAACTGATTTTTCTCCGAGTTTTACATGAAAATTTTTTTCTACTTTTAATATGCCATAATTCTTACTAGGTGCTTTCTTTCATGATCCCAAAGTTTCCAACAGTGCACGTACTGTCTCATTTTATGTTTCCAAACTTGATATTTTGTAGTATAATTCATCAAGCTTTTATTGAAGTCCAAGTCTTCAAACTTTTATTCTATACCTACTATGTGTATTTCATTGCACGCAGAAGCAAAGATTAAAAAAAAAAAAAAAAAAAAACCTACTGCTTATATAGTTTATGTTCTAATAGAATATACATAAATTAATATAGTAGTACTAGAGGTCCATTGCATGAAGATTCATGCAATAGGCCTTCCTTCCCCTGGCTTTTGGCACCAGTTTTCCTCTGGCACCCGGGACCCAGGCCTTTGCTCTGGTTGCAGCAAGGCTTGGCTTCTTTACTCTGACCACAGTGGAAAAGCCAAGCCTCTTCAGTCTTCAGCCTTCAGTCTTCATTCTGCTCCTGCATATCCAAATTAATTCACCATCTTTGTTAAGTTAATTTGCATGCTCATTCCTGATTGGCTGGTAGGTGTCATGGAGGTACAGTCAATTTGCATATTTCTATTTTATTAGTGTACATAGTAGTAGTTTGGCATGTATGCAAACATCAGGAGCCCATCATTTAGAAAGCTTTTTCTAAACGGTTCCAAATCCCAAGATTTTTTTAATTTTTGTTTTTTGGTGTTTTTTTTTAATCCTCACTCAAGGATATTTTTCCATTGATTTTTACAGAGAGTGGAAAAGAAAGGGAAAGATAAAGAGAAATATAGATGTGAGATTTTCTATGGAAGTTAACAAGTGATTGATTCTAATATGTTCTGCCTCCCACTATTAACCAAGAGCTACTGATGAACCAGGAATACATAGTACAAGGAAGCAAATTATTGGACTGGCTTCATATAGAATGATTTTGAAGGAATAGGCTATCTCATATTTTTGTGGGGGTTTTATTCCATCTTATTTCAAAATATACTAAAGGCTGGTACACAGATTTGTGCACCAGTGGGGTCCCTTGGCCTGGCCTGCAGGGATTGGGCCAAAACCAGCTCTCTGACATCCCCTGGGAACAGACCAGGCTGAAGGACCCCAACCGTGCATGATCCAGACCAGGGAGGGACTGCAGGAGGACTCCAGGGCATGTCTGCTGGACCAGTCCTGATCGGCTGGACCCCAGAGGGATACTTGATATATTAGGCTTTTAGATAGATAGATGGATAGATAGATAGATAGATAGATAGATAGATAGATAGATAGATAGATAGATAGATAGATAAAGGACTTAACAAGTGCCAGACATTATATTAAGTGCTGAGGATAAAATAATGAGCAACATTCCTGCCTTTGTAGAGATTATATAGTAGGGGAGAAAAGAAAACATTACAGATAATTATTTTGATCAATGTTATTCAAGAGAATACAATAAGTGATGAGGTTATATCCTGAGGGACCAGAAGGTTGTGGAGACTGTGATAAGAATGAGCAACCGTTCATTGTCCATCCCTGTGGAACTAAAAAGAAAGAGAACAGGGGAAAGGGAGTAGAGAGACAAGATGTTTTACCAGAAACTAAGGCAATTTGAAGCGGTCGTGTGCAGAGAGTATATTATCAAATGGATACAGGCTAATTTAATTTAAAGGGCTCCAAAGTGAAAAGTAAGATTCTCTTCCCTTCTAAGTCAGAGGTCTCTAAGGAGGCCCCTACAACACAATAGTTGTATTAGTTGGTTATAAAATTAGGGTCAACTGCAATGAACTTATGAATTTGAGGCTCAAGGTACAAAGCAGTCTCTTCTCTAGCAAATCCAAAATAAAATTCACTAAGTACCCAGATGGAAATGTGTTCATGTGCTTCTATATCTATGGTAGAAATGCTCCCTTTAGCATAATAACATAAAGCAAGGTACCACCACTTATTCATTCCTGTATTCACAGCTATTGACTGAGCACCAGTAAGTGACAGAGATATAAATTAGCATGACAGTCTCTGCCCTCAAGGAGCTTATAGTCTAGGGAAGGAGACTGTCTAAAAACACATCTCTAAGATAGCCATATGAAAAGTGTAATAGTAGAGCTATGCACAGAGAAATATTGGATATAATATATCCAAATGTCCTTATGATGGGAAAATGCAGGGAGTGCAGTCCTTAATATGAGAAAATACAGAGTCCCAAGTGTGGCCCCAAACTAGCATTAGTCAAAATAATGTTTTTCATATGATCCAGCAATTCCACTTGTAGGTATTTATCTAGAGGAAAAAAAAAATTCAAAAAGGTATCTGCACTCCCATTGCAGCAGCATCCTAATATAAAAAGCCAGGGGGCATCAAGACTGAAACAACCGGACAGACAATTGAACAGCAGGCTGTGTGGGGCAACCAGGCCTGGAGCGGCAGCACTTGGGAGCAACCAGACTGGGGGGGGGGGAGGGGGGGCGCAATAAGGGGTGACCAGGCCAGCGGGGGGGGGGGGGGGGGAGAGAGACAATTGTTGGGGATGTCCAGGCTGATGGCGGGAGCAGTTGGGGTCAATCAGGCAGGCAAGCAGGTGAGCAGTTAGGAGCCAGCAGTCCCGGATTGTGAGAGGGTTGTCCGAATGCTGGTTTAGGTCTGATCCCTGGGATTGAACCTAAACTGAACCCTGAGGGATACCGATTTGGAGGAGGTGCAGGCTGGGCTGAGGGGACTCCCCTCTCCCTGCACGAATTTTGTGCACCAGGCCTCTAGTTATTTATAATAGCCAAGACTATGGAAACAACGTAAGTGACCATATATGGATGAAGGGATAAAGAAAATATGATATGTGTACAAAATGGAACATTATTCAGCCATATAAAAGAAGGAAATCTTGCTATTTGTGATAATATGAATGGACCATGATGGCATTATGCTAAGTGAAATAAGTCAGACAGAGGAAGATAAATACCATATGATCTCACTTAAATGGGGGAAAAAAAACAAAACAACAACAACACCCTAAGTCATAGCTACAAAGAAGAGATAGGTAGTTACCAGAGGAGGGGATGGCAAGGCAGTGAAATGGGTGAAGGGTGCCAAAAAGTACAAACTTCCAGTTGTAAAATAAATAAGATCTGGGGTGGAATATACAGCATCGTGACTGTAGTTAATAATACTTTATTGTATGTTAGGTCATTGCTAAGACAGTAGATCTTAAAGGGTTCTCATCATAAGAAAAAAAATGTATGGAATTATGCATGGTATTGGATATTAACTAGATCATTGTGGTGATCGTTTTACAATATATATAAACACTGAATCTTTATACTGTACAACTGAAACTACTATTGTTATATGTCAATTATAATCTCAATGTTAAAAAAAAGCATTTTAAAGCTTTAAATAAAACAGCAAGTGTAAGCACCTGAAATGAGGTGTGATAACTGGTTTAAAAATTAATTTATTAATAAAATAATATTTTACAGATAGTATTGGTAAGGAGGAAGAAAAAAATATATTTGAGTTGAGAGATATTTTTCCCCCAATCTGAGACTTATAAACCTCTTTTAACTATTCCTCTTTGCCTTTCTTTCTTCAGTTTTCTTTTTTCACTCTTCTCACCCCACAAGAAGCCAAATGTTAAGGAAATTGTCTTTTTGACAGCATCATTAAATGGTAATTCTGGAGAGCCAGGGGGATAATTATGGCTCCTCTCCACTAAATATAAAAGTACTCTCTTGCCTAATAACAAGAAAGAAAGCACCATCCATTCTTATTTATAACAGGGACAAACAGATAGTGCAGACTCCCTGTGAACAAAACCTGTGTCTGTACGACTTTGAATTCTGTGCAATTCCTTCCTTTCATTTGTGAAATATCCTGATCTTTTAGCACCTTATTTATGTACAGAAAAGACATTGCCCCTGGCCTTCAGAATATTGTTCCAGAGTGGGAACCATATGTAAAATACATAATTACAGTACCGTGTGGAATTGCTAACATTGAAGTATGTTCTATGAGCTATTGGAGTGCAGGGGAAGGAATAATAAATCTGCTTGAAGAAGTCAGAGAAAGCATCACAGAGAAAGTGACATTTTAAATGAGTCTTAAAGGGATGAGTAGGAGCTGGCTCTTGATTATTTATCAGCAAATATACTTTCCTTTAGGTTCTTTCACCTTCCCGCCACGGTCATGCGTTAATTTTTCAAATGAAAGAAATGAACATTTTAATTTTTACTGATAGCCTGTGCTTTGCTGTGAAATAAAATCGTGAGCAAAGCTGTAGGTAGAAACCAAGACTTGAGATTGCTGGAGGGGAAAAGGGGCTTTTACCCTGTGAGCACCCCGGCTGTGGGAGAACAGTGTGCATGAAGAGCAGCAGGATTTCAGTGATTCATTCTGTCATTTCTCTTCCTCTGTAGCCATCAGGTTTGGGCGGATGCCACAAGCCGAGAAGGAGAAGCTGTTGGCAGAGATCTCCAGTGATATCGACCAGCTGAACCCAGAGTCTGCTGACCTCCGGGCCCTGGCAAAACATTTGTATGACTCATACATCAAGTCCTTCCCGCTGACCAAAGCAAAGGCGAGGGCCATCTTGACAGGAAAGACAACAGATAAATCAGTTAGTTCTCTTCTACCCTCTTGATTTGGGGTGGCTGGGTTTGTTGTTGTTGTTGTTGTTTCCTTTGAGGAAATGATTAACCATGTTACACACACACACGCAGAGTACTGTTCATCTGTTGGCGGTTACATATTAAAAGCTGAGTCTGAAAGCACAGGAAAGGAAATGTCTTCAGATAGGATAAGTAAACATTCTTTTGAAAAGGGAAAAAGTCCTTCAAATTCTCCTACTAAATTATTTGAGAAAGTATAAAAATATGCGAGTCAGCTTAACTTTAATGTGTGAACTCAAGCCCCATTCACCCCACCACCCTCTTTCAGGATCCACCTACATTCATTCACACAGGCCTGCTTTCCGGACCTAGCTTTTGAAAAGGTATTCAGTCTCATTATTTTACCTTTTAGGAAATGCATTAGAGTTACCACTTACGAAGTTCCACATTGGGCAGAAAAATACATTCCAGATATTATATCACCTTTCTTTTCCTTGTAGCACTCTATTAATAATTTCTGGATAACTGGAAGCTTTTTCCTTTTATTATATGTATAAATTGTTAAGCTCTGAGCTGTTAAGCTCTGAGCTGCTTGAGCTATGTGAGTGGAGAATCTAGTGAATTCTCAAACATCTGCAAGCTCATTGATTACCACTGTTTAAAAAACCCAGAATGGTTCAGAAATGTTATTGAGTCAATCTTTCCAAAATGCAGAACTCTTCCCTGATAGGAAGCTGAGAAAGCACAACATGGAATCATGTTAAAACAAAATATAAGCCGAAACCAGTTTGGCTCAGTGGATAGAGCGTCAGCCTGCGGACTGAAAGGTCCTGGGTTCAATTCCGGTCAAGGGCACGTACCTTGGTTGCAGGCACGTCCCCAGTGGGGTATGTGTAGGAGGCAGCTGATCGATGATTCTCTCTCATCGATGTTTCTAACTCTCTGTTCCTCTCCCTTCCTCTTTGTAAAAAAAAATCAATAAAATATATTTTAAAAAATAAATATATATATATAACTATAACTTATATATATATATATAAAATCATAAGTTATATATATAAATATATATATTTATAAATATAAATATAAATATAAGTTATATATATAAATATATATAACTATAAAAATAAATATATATATATATATATAACTATAACTATAACATATATATATAACTATAACTTGCCCTAGCCGCTTTGGTTCAGCAGATAGAACATTGGCCTGTGGACTGGTGGGTCCTGTCAAAGGCACATATCTCAGTTGCAGGCTTGATCTCCTGGTCAGGGTGCATGCAGGAGGCAACCAATTGATGTGTGTCTCTCACATCAATATTTCTGTCTGTCTCTCCCCCTCCCTCCCACTTTCTCTAAAAACCAATAGTAAAATATCCTTGGGAATTCTAGTCCCAATTCTGCCATCAGCTTACAGATCTGTTTACACAGGCAGGTCTAACTTTGATTATAATGTCTGCAGCATGTTCTTAAAGTAGTAAGCCACAGAACACATTCATAAGATACCATCCCAGCCCTTGATAGCCCTTTTATGCTATTGTTTATTTTCAAGTAAACATCTACAAAAAGAGATATGCAATTACTTGACATATATAGGCAACTTTTTCCCCACACAGTTATATTTTGGGGAAAATTTGATTACCCTTTAATGTATTTTTATAATGATCTCGAGCTGTTTTTCTTTTCCTTTTAGCTAAACCATAAGAGTAGAATTAGCTAATAGAAAAAGAAAACTCCTATGGGATATTGCTATATAAAGAGCCAAATGCTGAGAAGGACAATGAGCTTTCTGACTGCAAGAGCAGTCATTGATGCCTTAGCAGTATTATCCCTATTTCCATTGCTTTACAGTTTCAAAAAGTTAAGATTCTTTACTGATTTTTAGAGAGAGCTGAAGGCAGAGGGAGAGAGAGAGAAACATTGTTTTTAGTTAAGATTCTTTACTGATTTTTAGAGAGAGCTGAAGGCAGAGGGAGAGAGAGAGAAACATTGATGTGAGAATGATACATCAATTCACTGCCTCCTGCCGGGGATCTAGCCTGCAACGTGAGCATGTACCTGGATCAGAAATTTCACCAGCAACCTTCCTGAGCATGGGAAGAAGCCCAACCAACTGAGCTATACCCATCAGGGCTCAAGAAAATCTTACACATTCATTTGTTCAAGGCACATGATGATCTTACGGCTCCTATTATTACCCTCCCTTAAAAATGGGGAAATTGATGGTTAAACATTTTGCACAGGGTTCACACAGCATGTGGAAGAACCAAGACTAATGCAGCCTTCTAACTATTACTTCAGGAAATCTGAGCATGACATTCCCTCACGGAAGCTAGTCTTTCCTATTGGCTAGCACTGAGTGGTTGACACTAGGAAAATTTAACTTGGAAAAACATTCTGAGTTATGACTTGTTTTTATCAATTTTTAGAACAGCAAGAATTTTCCACTTTGTTCGGCTATCCTAGTGTATTCACAGTCAGGAAATTTTCCTTGTGCTGTATTGTTCTTCTGAATTACAGTGATTAGGACTGTCTTCTGCAGACTCTACGTCATAGTAAAGCTACATTTATGAAAAAATTGGGGCCTAACAAGTCAAGAGCGAATGAAGACCTCTGCAAAGCTGATTTGTCTGTGGGAAATAAATGGCTCATTTAAAGGAAAAAGAAAGAAATAAAAGAAAAGCTATAATAGATTGATGTGACTACAGAGGGTTAACAATGTAAGGCAGATTACAACAGTTTGATGAGAGCATAGGATAGAGACCTGGAGGCTGGGAGCCCCAGAACTGGGAAAGAACTGATAAAGGGAAAGAGCCCTCAAACAGTTTACTCCACCGTTTGGCCTCCAGCCCTTTAGTTTCCAGGAACTGCTTTCTCACCTTTTCTTTATCTCTCTGTCCAGATTTGCAATCCCTGCTAGAAAGCCTGGAAGTACCTGGAAGCTAGGAGGAAGGCAGTGTAAGAAAACTTCTCTCCCCCCCCTCCCCCCACCCCCTGTAGGTAGTCAAGAATTTAGTTACTCTCCCAGGGGCCAACTTACTCTTCTCTGTGTTACTGAGGGGCACAGAGCCCAGCCCACCGTAAACCACGTTAAAGCCTCATGCCAAATGACTCTTTGGCTCCAAGTCTTTGAGTTGAAAAATAAGATATCTGCCAGCTTTTTATGAGATAAGTAGGTATTAAGCTATTTTAAGGGAAAGGGATGCAAAATGCTTGATTATAGTCTTTTCAAGTTCAGAGGTCAAATGTTTGTCATTTTTTTCTCCCCCCTATAGTAACTGTGACTGTGCTTTGCCCATAATATTTACTCAGGATGTATTTGCTTAATTGAATTAGAAACTGTTGCCTATGCCCTTTGAAATTCTGGACTTTCAACAGAGGGCCTCTAACTAGCCTAATATTTGCTCACCAAACTGGACATCATTAATGATCTGGATAGAGGCAGAATTGCCTCTTAGGGTCTGGAGAGAGAGACTGGGCCAAATTAAAATAATCCGTCCCCTGATTACACAAAACTGAAATAGAATTGTTTGGCTTTCTTTTCTCCTTATCTTGCAAAATCAAATTAAACACGGGTGGAAAGAAATAGTTCAGAGAGGAATAGGGAGAGGGGGAAAAAATCCAAAATGTGATTTCCAATGTGACTAGAGATTTGTTTTGTTTTTATCTTACATGGTCATGTTATTCATTTGATAGCATCTTTCTCAGGGGTGTTATGTTATCTCTTGGCCAAGACTTATGAAAGTTAAGATTTGAAATGATTGGAAACATTTTTTTTTTTTTCAGAAGTATGGACTCTTGAGAGAGTGGAGGTTATGAAAAAGTGTCTATGGCGGGTGCATTGGGTCTCATTATCCACCCCTGCTTGAACTGATGTCACTAGTGTTGGTTAGGCCAAGCCTGGGATGGGCTGCTCAGTATAGTGAATGACTAGTTACCAAGAATCTTTGGAAAAGGAAATGGCTCTATTGAAGAGGCCATCCTTTAAATTTATCTTACTGCTCAATTTAACCTTTACTTATTCTGTCATTCATGGAATGCCTGCCAATCTTTCCTCTCAGTTCCAGCAATAGCATTTGCCTGCAGGCCTCTCCCAACTTAACTTCCTTCTGCTATATCTTATTCCTTGCTGCTATTTTCACCTTTCAAAGATAAATGGACTGATAAATTCAATGTTCCTGCTCCCCTCTTCTCTTTTTTAACTTTGGGATATCTTTGGGATATTATGTATCTTTCATATCATGCCTAAAAAAAAAAATAATGCCTGGGAATTTTAGACTCGGGATTAGGAAGAGATGGAATATGGAATCACTAAACATGATCACAGGAGAATTTTAGGAGTAATGAGTGTTTTCAGCCCCCCTCAAATAGGAATGGCACTGACTCTCCTACAGGTTCTTTTCCCGCCAGTGGCTTATTCCAGCCCAGGCCCTTCTTTAAGAAAGCTGATTGAACCCTGTCACTATGAATGTGTGCTTTATTTCCTGAAGGCAACTTGAGAATTGAATGGACTTTGGAAGTTCCCAGTGTTTGACCATTACCCTGATGTGATGATCACACTGGGTGCATCATTGTCACATGATCTCATGTTTGTTGATGAAAATAAACACAGAGTGGTTTTCAAGAACTCTTTTCAATGCCATGGTTTGTCATAAAACAATAAATATAAAAACCTTTGGTGTGCCTGCCAACTTTTCACTCCATATCTGAGGATGATGAGGCCCTGGCTGCACTCTAATTGCAAGAAAGGATAAAACTTGTTATTTGTACTATATTGGACTTTGCATCCCAAATCATCACATTGCTCACGATAAGGTACATGTGGAGTCACTGTTTTTGTAATTACAAGAGCAAAACAGTGCCATTGTGAAAAGGGTTTCTCTAAATAGTATATGTAATATGAAACTACTAATGAATAAAACCAATATAGAAATGTAAACTTTTGTGAAAACAGTCTGTACCCTTTAAATTTTCTCATTCTAAAATTTACAGTGTCC